CCCCAAAACCCCAAAACCCCTTGAATGATCAATAGAAATAATATCTAAAAATCTCATACTAAGTAAAATATAAAAGTGTTTTCAAATAAAATTAATGCAAAGTTTTAGCTTTATATTTTGATGAATCAAGTAAATCTTGATGCTCCATTTATAGATTTACCACTTGATACCTTGCTGAATACCAAAAATATAAAGTATTGAAGTATTACTAGTAAAGTTGCGAAAATAATCGACTCATTTCCAGTCCAAGTCAGAGTTGATACCAAATTAACTTTTGTAATCCTAGTTCTAATGAAATCGACCATAATATATAAGAAGCATAAGGAAGTTGGAATATACCAATATGTTGTGCTAAATTAAATTGCATTCATCAAGAATTCAAATGTAATCAGCATAAAAGGAACTGCATTAACTAAAACTGGTATCATTATCTTCTTCATATCATAGGAAAATAACTCATCATTATAGATCCATCCAATATAGAAGGGTACAGCTGTATAGGTTACAGATAATGTAACCTGATAGACAATCTTTACATAGAGATCTATTGAGGAAACTGAGCTGAGACTAGATGCAACAGCAAGTAAAATGAAACAAAGGAAATTCAATAAAAATGCCCAGTAGTGATAATACCAAAAGAATTCTTTATAATGAAACCACATTACTGCTACTAGTGAAAACGTTAATATCACTGCTGAGACATATCTTGTAATCTGTAATTAAAGTGCTGAATAAGTTCCTTAGGCTTACTTGCTAGTTTTTAATAGCGGGTGAATGCTATGCCCATTAAGTTATTGATAAGGATAGTTGCTAAATACCTGATTTTATTGCTAAATAGGAATGTTGATAACAATGATGTTGCTATCTGTTGACATTAATTTATTGAATAATTAATTATAAGCAATGATCCATTTATAGAAATTAAATAGAATTGCGAATGATTAATAATAATACTTTTAAAATAAAATGGCTTAAGCTAAGGTAGTTGACAAAAATACTTTTGAGTCTCTACTCTAATAAGATAAGCAGTAAAATGGAACAACCACATAATTTCATCATTAACCTCAAAATATGTCATTTGTCCTTAATGGTTCTACAAACTTTGTAAACACTGCAACAGCTGGATAAATGAATGATGCTAATAGCATGCGAGAATAGAAATGGCAGGAAAAAAAGCGTTAACGGGAGTAACAGCAACGTTCTTCATTTATTAACACTGCTTAGAATTCCCTTTAGCATTCAATTTCAATCCCAAACTTTACTTTACCGCAGAGTTAATTAAATTTTAACGATTCGCAACAAGTAAATGACTTTTAATTTCAGTAAACAATAAATCCAATAAATCAGACCTAATCAAATCAATAATTTATTTAGCCTCCCCAAACACTTGATATTAACAATAATAATTTCAATGCTATGAATAATTTCAATGAAGAAATGAAGAATTAGCATTTTCAGCCTAGCTAAGCGCAAACATTTTCACAAATGCCTCTTCCTAACAATGAAATCTAGTTTCATAATGTTGAGGCTTAAGAAAAGAAGAATATATTGCAAGGTGCTTCTGGGGTTGAAGATGTTAGGAATAACTTAAAGGAGCAATATAAGAGGGAAATTACTGATTAATACATGTAAAGGGAAAGGTCTAAATCAAACAAGAGAGACGCTTATATGTAAAGAGTATAGTCACAGCAATAGATCTAAACAGGTCTTGCCATGGGTGGAAACGGCTAAGGAATCAATACATAAAGGCAAATACCACCAAGCAGCAACTCAAATTCTAGATTTAAATACTCCTACTTTAACATAAACAACAATAATGGAGGGATGACACCTTAACATATTGAAAACAAGATTACTTATCATGATATTTAACCTGGCAATGCGAACCATGATCCAAACAATATTTTAGGTTAGAATCAACTAGAATAGTCAAATAATTTAACAATGAATACTATCAATGATTAAATGAGCACACAAATGTAACAGTAGCCTCAAATCTTTAATAATCTAGGCGATACATAAGAATAAGTAAATTAGTCTTACTTCAACACAAGTAAAATATAATTAAATATTCAATAATTTTAGATAAACCTTAAACAGCGATGTCTAGGCCTATGACTCAAGGAGCTGATAAGGATAAGAAGGCTTAATATATGTAGGCTTTATAAAAATAAATTAACGATAATTAAAATAAAAAACAAGTTACTAAATAAGTAGAAAAATAAAAAGAAGAGTTTGAAGACAGTATTCTCAATTAATTTGGAAAGTAAAATCAATTATATTCCTTAATTTTATTTACAGAGGAGGAGCAGGGGCACCCTTGAAAGATTAGAATGGCCAGACTATCACAATCAGGAATCCTCATATGCATTAATAATTTGAGAGGAAACCAAAAGGCATACTCAAAAAACAAGATGAAAAATTCGACTACTATAGAAGTGACAATAAAAGTAGAGGAGGTGGCGGCGATAACTTCTAGAATTTTTAACCACCCTAATAATAGTTTCAACCATAAAATATTTAGCCATAGATTTAACCTTAGCCTTAATTCAATTTTGATCCCCCAAACTCAACTCCATATAATTTGCCAAATAGTCTAGCTGATTTTCCAAAAGCTGATTACATAGTAAATAGTAAGATTTTTTCTACCTATTATAAAATATATAGTTGGAGATCCAATAAAGAATGAAATCTAACAGATACCTCCATCAACTACTCAGATGCCTAATATGAATGCAGAATAGTTTAATTAATTTGCAAATCAATTAGTACTTTACTTGCACTAGGAAAGGATGGCAAGAGAAGCTGAGAAGTCCCAAAAGAATACTTCCTATGACTTAGAATTAGATAGGATAAGATAGGAAAGGCTGAAACTTCAATAAGATCATGAAAAGAAATTGAAGCAGAGAGAAGATGAATATGCTGAGTTGCATAAAGCAAATATGGAGCGTGTTAATGAATTATGGCAAAAGAAAGTACATGATGAAAGAAAGAGATTTGATACTATGCGTAGTATGAAGATAGCCAAGGCTTAGGAAGGAGAGGAATCAATATTATTGACAGAATCTTTTCCTAATATTTTAGAGCAAGAATTGAGGACTTAGGTCTAGGACTTGACTAGTGAAATCTAAAAAAATACTGTACTGGCTCAACAGAAGATGAATGAACTATAATAAGCTAGCAATCTAATTGAAGAAGAAAGATTAGAAGCGGAGAGATAAATTCATGATCTCAACGATTAAATGTATAAGATGAAATATGATGATGTGATAAGGCATAAATATGTATATCAATAGCTTTTGACTAATAAAGAAGATGCTGATGCTAAACCACCTAATTATGTTCCCTAGCTTTTACCCAGACGGAAAAATTTAGATTATATAGCAGATATTCCTAATGCTTAGGAAGTGAATATTCCTATGAAATTTTATGATAGTGATAGAAAATATTATAATACTAAAACTGATCCTTTGTATCATACAAAGCCCCTTGGACATGATGTGTTTACAACTGATATTATAAAATAAAAGAAAGAGTTAGGTGTGATGGATAATAAATGGTATGATTAGGAATTAAACTATGATAGTAAACTATATGAATTTGGAGTTAGTCATTTGAACTAAGGGTTATATAGCAATAATGTTGGATATATTGATAGTAATAGATTGCCTGATAGATTTGGAGGATTTACTTCTGGATTACATTCAATGAATTACAAAAGCACTGGACATTTAGGGGCACTAAACTCTGATAATTATAATAAAGATAGAGATTTAAGTAAAAAGCCTCTTGATTCTGTAAGCAAATTCACCTACTTATGATTTATAATTTGATTTTTTATTTCTTAAATTATTGCGGTTGGTTTTTTATTGATTTCTATTAAAAGTTTGATAAAGAAATAAAGGTTGCTAAATTCTACTCAACGGGGTTTTGGGGTTTTGGGGTTTTGGGG